TTCAGTGTCCTGAGTAGCTGGGACTACAGGTGCCCAGCACCGTGACTAGCTAATTTTGTATTTTTAGTACAGATGGGGTTTCACCATGTTGGCCAGGCTGGTCTTGAACTTTGGACCTCAGGTGATCTGCCTACCTCGGCCTCCTAAAGTGCTGGGATTATAGGCATGAGCTAACATCCCTGGCCTAAATGGATCTTTAAAAGATGGATAATAGTAGCTGGGAGCAGTGACTCATGCTCCAAATCCCAGATACTCAGGAGGCTGAGTCAGGAGGATTGCTTGAGGCCAGGAGTTCAAGGCCAGTCTGGGCAACATAATGAGAGCCCATCTCTACAAAAAATAAAAAGGATAATAATGATGAGTTTGTTAGCTAATAGGTTATACCATTTTGGCAATAATGCAGCAAGTAGGCCAAGAGTAGTTTAATTTTAGCTATAGATGATTGAGTTCCACTATAGGAAGACATTACTGGTATGTTGGTCATTTTGCCTTTATTATACTGTGCACTCTTCTAAGATGGTCTCAGAGGCTTGCCTTTCTCCTGTTGTCCATTTCTGCAAGAATTCGAATGGCTTTAATGATTTAACCAGGGACAGGGCTTTTTCAGGTATGTGCATTGGTGGGCAAAAAGGGCCACCGAATTAAGGATTTTCAAGGGAGGAATTACAATACGGACCACATGTCTAGGCTTGGTCAGAATGGAGGAGAGAAGGATGAGGGAAAGAAAACCGGTTTGATAAGTAGATTGGACATTTTTGAATTTGTATAATTGCTTGAGCTGGTGATTTCAATGAAATAAGATTGCAGTAAAAACAAAAATCAGATGTCTGAAATTCAGATTTTGGAAGAGGTGTAGTTGTTGGTAATGGCAAGATCTTGGGTATGACCAAAGGATAAGTGAGTGAGGTACAGTAGAGGAAGAGATAACTATAGAGGACAAGTAGCTGAGAGGTCTAGGTGTTGGGTGGATCTTCAACTGGACACTGAAGCAGAGAACGGTGACACTGCTAGGGTGGAAGGAAAAGCTGAGCATGGCCAGCACAGCATTGGCCCCCTAAAGATGTTGTAATCCTAGGAACCTGTAAATGTTACCTTACACAGCAAAAGGTACTTTGCATGTATAATTAAGTTAAAGATTTTCAGATGGGGGAGTTTATCTTGCCTTTACCTGGAAGAAGGAGAGGGAAGTTCATCACAAGGGTCTCAATAAGAATGAGGCGGCCAGGCGCGGTGGCTCAAGCCTGTAATCCCAGCACTTTGGCAGACTAAGGCGGGTGGATTGCCTGAGGTCAGGAGTTTGAGACCAGCCTGGTTAACACAGTGAAACACTGTCTCTACTAAAAATATAAAAATTAGCTGGGCATAGTGGCACGCACCTGTAGTCCCAGTTACTCAGGAGGCTGAGGCAGAAGAATCACTTGAACCTGAGAGGCAGAGGTGGCAGTGAGCCAAGATCACATCAGTGTATTTCAGCCTGGGCAGCAGAGCAAGACTTAGTCTCAAAAAAAACAAAAAACAAAACAAAAAAGAGTGAGGTAATAGGGTTAGAGTTAGAGAAGGAGATGTGACCGTGGAGGCAGAGGTTGGAGTGATGTGGGTCTTGGGCCAAGGAATGTGGGCAGCCTCTAGGAGTGAGAAAGGCATAGAAATGATTCTCCTCCTCCAGAAGATAGTACCTCCAGAAGAAACACAGCCTGGCTGAAACCATTGTAGACTCCAGAACTGTAAGAGAATACCTTTATATTGTTTTAAGTCAATAAGTTTATCATAATCGGTCTCAGCAGCAGTATGGCAGGTATTATTATAGAATCATCAATAAGGAGAGGGATGGTAGTAAGGATGGCATGGGGTGGTACATGACATAACTAAGGAGGCAGTGACTGACCCCTGCACTGAAATGTTACTGGGATTGTAGAGGGAGGAAGGAACTTTACTGTTTAGTCCCAGGGGTTATGGTGGAAGACCTGAGAAGGGTGAACAATTAATCAGATTAGGATAGCCATTGAACGATGGTAATAGAGAACCTGGGAGTTTGGGTTTCTGGTTGTATCTGGATAAACAAGGGAGAGAGGTAAAAGTCCTGAGGGTCTTTTAGCTCTGAATACTGTAGTTTAATTTGCTGTAGTCCCTGTTTATCTGTGGATTTACTTTCCAAGGTTACAGTTATCTGAGGTCAACCACAGTCTAAACATATTAAATGGAAAATTACAGAAATCAGTAATTTATACTTTTATTTTTCTTTTTAAGAGATGGGGTCTTGCTACATTGCTCAGGCTGGAGTGCAGGGGTATTCACAGGTGTGATCATAGAACACTACAGCCTCAAACTCTTGGCCTCAAGTCATCCTCCCACCTCTGCAGTCTCAAGTAGGGACTATAGGTGCATGGCAGTGCACTTGGTAACAATTCATAAATTTTAAATTGGGTGCCATTTTGGGTAGCGTGATGATATCTCAAGCTGTCCTACTCTGTTTGCCTGGGACGTGAATCTTCTCCTTGTTCAGCATATTTGTGTTATAAATGCCCCCTGCCCATTAGTCACTTAGTAACTGTCTAGGTTTTCAGATTGACTGTCACAGTACCTCAGTGCTTGTGTTAAAGTAACCCTTATTTTACTTTATAATGGCCCCAAAGCACAAGAGTAGTGAAGCTGGCACATTGTTATAATTGATCTATTTTATTAATCGTTATTACTGTTAATCTCTTACTGTCCCTAATTTATGAAAAGTTTATCATTGATATGTATGTATAGGTAAAACCATTCTGTATACAGGTTTTGGTACTATCCACAGTTTTAGGCATCCACTGTGGGTCTTGGAACATGTCCCCCTGAGGATCGGAGGGGCATCTAGTAGATTTACTCAGGACATATTTATTAAACAGCCACTCTGAGGAGGCTCTGATATGGATATGAGTGGTTTAGTGGCCAGAAGGTAAGCAAGTGTGTCCTCCTGGGAACCACAGGAATTAGAGGTGCTCCAAGCTTCTTCTTTCTGTTCTGGAGGCAAAGCAGTGTGACAGCCTGGGCGGGTAGAGGGGGGATGAGAAGAAATGGATGTTGATGGGAATTATGTCTTGCTTGGAAGATGTAGCTTGGGATTTCCACTTTTCTCAGGTAGTTTTATGGGCCAGAGAAAAGACAAGCAACCTAAAATGGAAGAAGAATCAGACTGGCGTCAGATTTCTTATTGACGGCATAGGATGCTAAAAGTCAGTGTAGCAATACCTTCAAAACTTTCAAGGAATAAAACTGAGGACCTAGAATTGTACAAAGAATACAAACAGGCATGCCAGTCCTTGGCCTCTGTGGGATAATATGAAATATACCTATTTGATCTTTGTCCCTCATTCCTGTCGTAGAGCTCCTGAAACACCTAGAATTTCCTGAGTAATAGGAGTATCTTTTGTTACTCTTAGTGAGCCCCTGTGATGACTCCTCAGTTTATGCTAATGTAATGAATTAGGATAGGGCCAGTCACCATAAAGACCAAGTGATTACAGGACTAGAGAGTTAGAGCTTTTAGCTCTACCTACCAGTGTCTGGAAAGGGCAGAGATGGAGGTGGGAGTTGGGGAGGGTGGAGATCAAGCTCTATAAAAACTCTTGAGCAAGACTTGATGGGCTTCCTGGCTGTGGAACAAACACATGGAGGTTGCTGAACAGTTGGAGGTTCTGGTGAGGGAGGACGCACACCCAGGGAGGATGCGCACCCGGGGAGGATGCACACCCAGGGAGGATGCGGGAGCTTTGCCCCCACCCACCTCACACTATGTATCTCTTCATCTGGCTGCTCATCTGCATTCCCTATAATATCCTTTATAACAGACCAGTAAGCGGAAGTTAAGTGTTTCCCTGAGTTCTGTGAGTCACTTAGCAAGTTATCAAACCCAAGGTGGGAGGGTTGCAGGAAACCCAATTTACAGCTGGTCAGTCAGAAGTATCTGTTCCAGGGAGATAGTATCATAATTGAATTGAATTATAGGACACTCAGTTGGTATTGAAAGAAAGCAAAATATTTCCTCCCCAAATACTGAGAATTGTTAAGTTAAAGGAAAACAATGCATCAGCATCTATCTGCCTCGTGGCAGGACATAGATCATACCTTACTGGGGACAGCACTTGCTTATCAGCTCAGAGAAGGTACCAGCAGCTACCAGAGGAATCAGGAACAGATTTTACTATCTTCCCACATTTTCTTTTCTTTTGAAAGAAAGACTAGAACTGCTCTCTTTTTTGTCTTGTCACAATGTAGGATTTATGGCTCTTTGTTAACATACTATGTAAGCAAGGTCCATAAGCCACTGCCTTGAGAGTGAAATACTTCTGGACTGAGGCTTGTTAATCAACAAGCAGAAGTTCATTGACAAACACAGGTTAATAAACTTCTGTTTGTTTTTCTTTTGTTAATCTGACTTTTGTTTTCAGGAGAGTGTCTCAACTAAACCTTTTTAAAAAGAATTGTTTTCTCCCCTATGATCTGGCAACCCGGCCAGGAGAAACAGAGACACTGTGGCAGGCCGGGTTTCCATTACCACCCAAAGCAGGCAGTTTCCAGTAACTCTTTACTATAAATCGGATGAATGCATGTTAAACATTAAAGAACTGCAGAAACTGGGGCCTGAGTATAAGGGGTGGAGTGAAAAAAGCAAACTCATTAAGACCCCACTGGGGTTTTCTCAGACCCTAAAATCTGATTGAACTGATAAAAGCATTCTACATATACACCTCGTACCATGGCCCACTTAAGACTAAGAAACTTTCGAAAGCTCTAGAGAAAACATTCCAGACCACGGACCCTAATTAAAGATTAGATACAGATTGAATCAAATGCTCCTGCTAGTAGCGCGCTCCCACATGTTGACATAGAACTTAAAATGTACCTAAGTACTGGAGCAAAACCTGTAACTGAGTTGGCTTGGTGAGTTTCCCTGATCTTCTCCTTATAACCAGTTGCAGAAATAAACTCCCTTCTTACCCAGTCTGTCTGCATCTTGTTATTAGATCACGAGAACAAGCAGCCAAATCTCATTCCTCCAGGAACAACTCTACTCACTCTAGGACCTATGGATAGAATCCTGGGAGGACAGGCCAATGCCAGCAGAAAAAGGTAAGATTTCTTCCTTGTCCTTTTCTTTCTCGGTTCAGATTGATGCCTCCTACCCCAAATATTTATTATATATATAATTAATTCTTCAAATCTGTGACCTTTGTGGATTTGTAGGTACCTACTTGGTTATTGGGATCTTTAGTTTTCTAACTATGGTCTTTGTTTTCTAACTCTGTCTCTTTGTGTGGTTTGTCGTAAGGAGGAACATCATAATAAAATTCTTCTTTTGTTTTATTTTATTTCTGGAGAAGTGTGGCTTTGTAACCAGCAAATTTATTCTCTAGTCTCTGCCACCCTGTGGGCATAAGTTCCTGGGCTTTTGTCAGGCAGCCAGCTGAGAGTCCAGCTGGGGGACTGAGATGTCTGTCCAAATGTGCTGGCTCTTGGGAATTTGTCTTAATTGCCTAAACCTGCATTGCCTTGCTAATAATGAGGGTCTTTACTTTCTTAGGCCATCTGTGGAGGAACTTCAGATCTCAAAGAGAGACTGCATTTTTCCACCCTCTTTGGGGACATAATTTCTGTGTCTGGTTACAAGTCATAAAAAGCCTACTACTGGTTTTAAGTCACAATTAAAGTAGGTATACTTTTGGGAATTTAGGCTTTTGTATCTAATAGTATTTTTCTTTTTCTTTTTTGAAGAAAGCCCCCTCAGTTCCTTGGAGATGTAAATCTTACCATGTCTTTGAAATGTTAACATCCAGGGAATTAGCTAAGCAGCATTCCTTCTGAGATCTGATTTAAAACAAGAGTTAATTTAAGAAAGGAAAAGCCAAGACACAGGAATGTTTGCTCTTTTCCCAGCTAAAATTTGATTAAAATACTTTTTAAAGAACTCTATAGTCGGCCGGGTACAGTGGCTCATGCCTGTAATCCCAGCACTCTGGGAGGCCGAGGTGGGCAGATCACCTGAGGTCGGGAGTTCAAGAGCAGCCTGACCAACATGGTGAAACCCCGTCTTAAAAAAAAAAAAGAAGGCCGGGCGCGGTGGCTCAAGCCTGTAATCCCAGCACTTTGGGAGGCCGAGGCGGGTGGATCTCGAGGTCAGGAGATCGAGACCATCCTGGTCAACATGGTGAAACCCCGTCTCTACTAAAGATACAAAAAATTAGCTGGGTATGGTGGCGTGTGCCTGTAATCCCAGCTACTCGGGAGGCTGAGGCAGGAGAATTGCCTGAACTCAGGAGGCGGAGGTTGCGGTGAGCCGAGATCGTGCCATTGCACTCCAGCCTGGGAAACAAGAGCGAAACTCTGTCTCAAAAAAAAAAAAAAAAAAAAAAAAAAGAAAAAGAAAAAAAGAACTCTGTAGTCAAAAGTTGACTTAATTAAAAGCTGATACTTACACCTGTATGCATACATATATATTCTTAAGGTTTCTGTTCTCTCTCTGGAAAAGCTTCTCAGTAGACTAAACTCCTCTCTTCTTAAATCCTTGCCAACCATATTTGCTTCCTCTGTCTGTTTCTCTTCTATTTCTTCTTCTTCTTTTTTTGGGGGGGGGACGGAGTTTCGCTGTTGTTACCCAGGCTTGAGTGCAATGGCATGATCTCAGCTCACCACAACCTCCGCTTCCTGGATTCGAGCCATTCTCCTGCTTCAGCCTCCCAAGTAGCTGGGACTACAGGCGCGCACCACCATGCCCAGCTAATTTTTGTATTTTTAGTAGAGACAGGGTTTCACCTCGTTGACCAGGATGGTCTCGATCTCTTGACCTCATGATCCACCCGCCTTAGCCTCCCAAAGTGCTGGGATTATAGGTGTGAGCCACCGCGCCCGGACTTCTCTTCTTCTTAACATAATTTTTGCCTCAAAGACTTGTTCTTCCATTTACTTCTGTCTGTCCTTCTTTCCTCTTGCTACCCTCAGTGCCACATGAGCTTACCTCAAGAAGATTTCTAAAAGCTCTGATAACCCTAGAGAAAACAGAAAGAGCTCCGCAGACTCTTCTTTTTAAGGATAACTTCAGCTTTTCCTCATAGAGTCCCAGGGTTTGTGAGTGGCCAGGTTCCTCTCAGGTCTAAAGCTCCACTGTCTTTTACATTGAACTCCTCCATCTCGTTGGCTTTTAGGTATACACCTATGTGTGATGGTTAATATTGAGCGTCAACTGGATTGGATTGAAGGATGCAAAGTATTGTTCCTGGTGTGTCTGTGAGGATGTTGCCAAAGGAGATTAACATTTGAGTCAGTGGACTGGGAGAGGCAGACCCACTCTTCATCTGAGTGGGCACCATCTAGTCAGCTGCCAGCATGACTAGGATAAAGCAGGCAGAAGAATGTGGAAAGACTAGACTTGCTGAGTTTTCCAGTCTTCACCTTTTTCCAGTGCTGGATGCTTCCTGCCCTCGAAGATCAAAGTCCAAGTTCTTCAGCTTTTGGACTCTTGGACTTACACCAGTGGTTTGCCAGGGGCGTTGGGCCTTTGGCCACAGACTGAAGGCTGTACTGTTGGCTTCTCTACTTTTGAGTTTTTAGAACTTGGACTGATCTAATACTGGATTCCTTGCTCCTCAACTTGCAGATAGCCTATCATGGGACTTTACCTTGTGATCATGTCAGTCAATTCTCCTTAATAAACACTCCCTTTTATATAACTCCTGATCTCAAGTGATCTGCCCGCCTTGGCCTCCCAAAGTGCTGAGATTACAGGCATGAGCCACCATGCCCAGCCAAACTTAAAAAATATTTGAGCTTACAGTAATCAAAACAGCATGGTACTGGTACCAAAACGGAGATATAGACCAATGGAACAGAACAGAGGCCTTGGAGGCAACACAACATATCTAGAACCATACAATCTTGGATAAACCTGACAAAAACAAGCAATGGGGAAAGGATTCCCTGTTTAATAAATGGTGTTGGGAAATCTGGCTAGCTATGTGCAGAAAGCAGAAACTGGACCCCTTCCTGACACCTTACACTAAAATTAACTCCAGATGGATTAAAGACTTAAGCATAAGACCTAACACCATAAAAACCCTAGAAGAAAAGCTAGGCAAAACCATTCAGAATATAGGAGTAGGCAAGGACTTCATGACCAAAACACCAAAAGCATTGGCAACAAAAGCCAAAATAGACAAATGGGACCTAATCAAACTCCAAAGCTTCTGCACGGCAAAAGAAACAGTCATTAGAGTGAATCGGCAACCAACAGAATGGGAAAAAATTTTTGCAGTTTACCCATCTGACAAAGGGCTGATATCCAGAATTTACAAAGAACTAAAACAGATTTACAAGAAAAAAAACAAACAAGCCCATTCAAAAGTGGGCAACGGATATGAACAGACACTTTACAAAAGAAGACATACATGAGGCCAACAAACATATGAAAAAATGCTCATCATCACTGGTCATTAGAGAAATGCAAATCAAAACTACATTGAGATACCATCTAACTGGAGATCATTAAAAAATCTGGAGACAACAGATGCTGGAGAGGATGTGGAGAAATAGGAACACTTTTACACTGTTGGTTGGAGTGTAAATTAGTTCAACCATTGTGGAAGACAGTGTGGCGATTCCTCAAGGACCTAGAAATAGAAATTCCATTTGACCCAGCAATCCCATTACTGGGTATATATCCAAAGGACTATACATCGTTCTACTATAAGGACACATGCACACAAATGTTCATTGCAGCACTGTTTACAATAGCAAAGACCTGGAATCAGCCCAAATGCCCATCAATGATAGACTGGACAGGGAAACATGTGGCACATATACACCATGAAATATTATGCAGCCATCAAAAATGATGAGTTTGTGTCCTTTGTAGGGACATGGATGAACCTGGAGAACAATATTCTCAGCAAACTGACACAAGAACAGAAAATGAAATACCACATGTTCTCTCTCTTTTTTTATATATATCCTTTTTATCCTTCATAATCTTCCTTGTTCTAAAGTCAGCTTTAGGCTGGGCTTGTTGGCTTATCCCTATAATCCCAGCACTTGGGAGGCTGAGGCAGACAGGTCACCTGAGGTCATGAGTTCAAAACCCGTCTGGCCAACATGATAAAAACCTGTCTTTACTAAAAATACAGAAATTAGCCAAGCATAGTGGTGCATGCCTGCAATCGCAGCTTCTAGGGAGGCTTAGGCAGGAGACTTGCTTGAACCCAGGAGGTGGAGGTTGCAGTGAGCAGAGATCACACCACTGCACTGCAGCCTGGGTGACAGAGCAAGACTCTGTCTCAAAAAAAAGAAAGTCAGCTTTGTCTGCGATTTATACAGCTACTACCACTTTCTCCTGTTTAGTGTTAGCGTTGTATATCTGTCTGTATACATTTACTTTTCTTTTCTCTTTTTTTTAAAGAAAAAAGGAGAGAAGGAGAGGAAGAAAGAGGAAGAAAAAGAGGGAGAGAGAACAGGAATATTGCTTTATTCTAAAAATAGGTATTAATAATGGCAGATCAATATTTTGTGTATTTAAAGTGGGGAGTGTGTATTTTGTGTATTTAAAGTGGAGAGCTCTATAAGTATTTATCAAGTTTACTTGTTCTGGATCTGTGTTCAAGTCCTGGATGTCGTTTTTAATTTTCTGTCTCGTTGAGTCTAAATCTCTTTATGGGTCTTATGTATCCGGGTGTTAGAATCGTTAGCTCTTATTGTCGCATTGATCCTTTTACCACTACATCCTTGTTGCTTTGAAATCATGTTTATCAATGCGAGAATTGCAACTCCTGCTTTTTGTTTATTTATTTATTTTTCCTCTCCATTTGGTTGGTAAATTCTTCTCCAACCCTTTGTTTTGAGTCTTTGTGTATCTTTGGATATAAAATGGGTCTGCATGTAGCATACCATTAGGTTTTGGCTGTATCTTTTGATTGGGGGATTTAGTCGATTCAAATTTAGGGTTACTGCCATTTGATGTTAACTGGCTATTTTATCCATTCGTTGATGTAAATTCTTCTTTATGTTGATGCTCTTTACTTTCTGGTATATTTCCAGAAAGGCCAACACTGGTTGTTCCTTTCTATGTTTAATGATTCTTTCAGAAG